ACCTCCGCGCCACCACGACATCCTTACATCTCATATCTAAAGTAAACATACAGAAATCAGTAAGTATTTGTTATAAAACATTTCCAAATACAAAGTTGAGTGGCTTCCAACAAAAACAGACGGCGACTTGTCTCGAGTCCTGGTGCAACATGTTTCCATAACAAGCGAACAAGTTCCCGTGTCGCCGCGTCACACCGTCACAGCCGAGACATTAACATAGCTAATTGTACATTCACATTCATACTATACGTAACTACGTATAACAATATGATTTATTGCCACAAAAAGTTCCTTCGTCAATAACGTATTTTTTGAAAAATATTAGGTACAACATCATCAACAGCCTATGCATGCCCACTGCTGAGCAAAGCCTCTTCTCACACGGAGAAGGTTTGAGCATTAATCACCACGTTTGCTCAATGCAGGTTGGCGATATCAAACTTATAATTAGAAATTATAAGCCCAGGTTTCCTCACGATGTTTTTCCTTAACCGTCTGTCAGTGGTGTCTAGATAATCTTAGGAAGTACATATAACTCGGAAAAAGTTATATTGGTACTTGCCGTTGGTGGGTTTCAAACCTCCACTGCATGCTACATGCATGATAGGCAGGTGACAAGTATAAAATATAATATCATTTTACGCGGACGAACTTGATTTTATGCAAAATATTTTTTTTTCCAGCTTATTTATATACTATCTTCTGCCAGTGGCTTGGCCCACATTCCACTTAGGACAAGAAGCCATATTCTACCCCTGTTCCAAAGTTCATCCCGCTCCCTTCAGTCGTTTTGATGTGGTTAAGACGTAATAAACACAAACTCACAAACATTCGCATTAATTATAAATTATATTAGTCAGAAGTAGGATGCTGCATGTACCGATAAAGTACGGTCAGTATCAAAAGTTGATGAACACATTTAGATTAAAAAAATCGCTGTACAGCGTATTACCTAAATCACAAAATATTCCAAGCGTCAGAAATAAATAATTATCTTCTGTTGCATTTAACTCGTCAAGTACCGTCATTATAGACACAATTATAGAACAATGTCGCGGAGAACCTAACGGGTAACCGGGGCTCCGGCTCGACGTGCAGGAGAAGGAACGGGGTGGTTTTTAGTCAGTAAGAGTCTCCCCCTCCCGCCTCACCCAGGCGGGAGCAGTCATTCGATGATTTTCCACCCTTAAAAAAAAAAAATTATAGAACAATAGGTTGCGGTCACCGGTGTCCTCGCGGTGTTTGACAGTTTAAGGTGCTTGTCATATTTGCCGACTTAGGTAATACGCTGTACAGGGATTTTGAAAATCAAAATGTGTTCATCAACTTTTGATTCTGATTGTACATATATTCAGAGACACTTTATACATTCTACGTTAGTGTGTATAATCATTTAAGAATACAATGTTTTTAAACAAAAACTTCAAATTTTTATAATAATATCACGAGACATACTAAATTTACTAAAATCGTGGGTTACTCACGTGAATATACATACGTGTGAGCTGCACGACGTCGCTGCGACTGCGCACGCTGCTCATGAGGAAGAACCCCTCTGTGGTTCGAAACTAGGAGAGCTTTTCTCAGTATATTCACGTGAGTAACTAGCGATTTTAGTTAATAAACTTCACACTTCGCATTTATCAACAAAAGTCTCGATTAATTATTATGTTTCCAGCTTACGTAATTATTTGACGAGGAACTCGACTAGTTTCAATCTATCGTAGAAGCTCATATTCATGAGCAGCATTCCGCCACTGTTTAAAGTCAAAGTCAAAATCATTTATTTCAATTAGGCCAGAATGGCACTTTTGAACGTCAACAAAAAAAAATTGAAAGTGAAGCTATTTGCTCATTCCAAGGCGTAGATTCCTATGGAGAAGAACGAGCAAGAAACTCCATAGGTTACTCTTTTTCAATCAGGTTCACAATACAATTTACTAGTTACATAGTTTTGCTGTTTGAATTGTGCGAGAACAATGTTACACTATAATCCAGTCAAAGTGAGTGTGTTGCGCTGCTACTCCAAGTTCCTCGTCAAACAATTACGTGAGTAATCCGAAAACATAATAATTAATTTATTATGTCCCACGAACTCTTAATACAAACAAAATTTCTATAAAAATGTCTACGTACAATATATATACAAACTCGATGTATTGATCAGACACGGCACATCCCTACCGACGCAATGATCGCATCGATGATAATCATCTGTCAATGCGACAATGGTCCCTTTGTCCCGAGCCTATTACTTAACTAACTAATTGGAGCAAACGTTTACTTCATCTCGATAACTGATAGGGACAAAGGGATACTTTTTTATATGAACAAAAAACTAAATTCTTTGAACTTGTCTTTTAAAAACATATAAGATGGAATTCGTACTGAATGTTTTAAAGGACGTAAGTGACATCGATTCTTTATTTATTTACGTCTTTTTGTGTTTAAGAATAGTCTCTTAATATGTGAGAATAAAAGTGAATTAGATAAGACAGTGAGGGGTCGGACACATTGTTGTGACAGTCAGTCGTTTCATCGTTTGTGTGCACTTATCTCGGGAATTCACACTCCATTAATTTGTAATCTGTATTTTGTGAGACAAGGATAGAAAGGTAGGCAATGTCTTTAATTTACTTATGAATTGAATTCAGGTATATTATACTACTTGTATTATCTAACTTCATAAATACCTACAGCTTGATTTTATTGGTACGGTACTTAAAAAGTAACACCCATTTTTCACGATTTATTTTATAAGTCCCACGTAATAGGGGGTAAACCTATTGCCATATACGGGGCACAATTCCACACTCCGTGCTGAGAAACTTACTGAGACCTACTGAGACTACTGAGACCCCTTGCCCGGCAGTCGCACTTGCGACCACTCGGCCAATGAAGCATTATGTGTTGTAATGTACACCTATGTCTACCCCTTCTGGGATAATAAGCCGTTATGTTATGTTATGGTGTTTAAAAAGTTTAATAATGTCTATTGGATCTCTAATGTCTATTGGATCACCGCTTCGCTCGCGATCCCGTGGGATAAAAATTGGCTTTCTGTTATTCCAGTCCATAATCTACTCCTGTTCCAAATTTCAACCCGATCCCTTCAGCCGTTTTGGCGCGATTGTTTAACAAACATACACAAAGACACAAACTTTCACATTTTTAATACTAGTAAGATTTTAATACTATCCTTACTAATATTATAAATCGGAAAGTGAGTTTGTTTGTTTGTTCCGCTTTCACGCCATAACTACTAAACCGATTGCTTTGAATTTTTGCAGAAGTAAAGTTAGAAGTCCGGATTAAATAATAGGGTACTTTTTATCCCGGAAAAATTTGATATTCCCGAGGGAAAACAAAAGTATTGGTGTAGATGGCGCTGTGTGTATTGGTATATGTCACATTGGCTTTAATCCTTTTGTGACGCGAGCGAAGCCGCGGGTAAAAGCTAATAAAAAATAAACGACAAATATAAAACAAACTGTTTACAATGATCGTAGAATGCGATTTCTTAGACTTTGGATGGCGCCAGCTATCAGGAATCAGAAAATGGCTTCCTCAAGCTTCCTTGTGCGAATCGCTAGGGAATGAAATTTCTTGGCGTAATCTGTGTTTCTCAACAAATATAACTTGGGTGTCTTCAAGTCCCGAGTGAACAGGTTGCTCATTGGTAGGCGTGCTCCATCTTCGGCCACATCATCGTGCACCACCAGGCGAGATGAGAAGAACTATCAAGTATAAAAAAAAAAATGGGATGGTCAAGTAAATACTATTGAATGCTTGAAAGAACTAAATGATTACAATGATGAAACTGCAGACAAATAGCTATTAACACAACATTACAAAATGTATCCGTCTGTCGAGTACACACAAACTACAACAACACATGTAACATATAATGATACCACGCTATAACCACAGAATAGACGCAGTGACGCGATAATGAGCGAGTGCCGCCGCGGGGCACAGCGGGTCGTAGTGAACCTGTGTCAATTAGCCCTCATTATTGGTATACTTGATGTTAAATAATGTGCGCGTGGGACGATGCCGCCTCTATTTACCTGCGTTGTAAATTATTTCAATGGTATATTGATTGCGCCCGAGGCAGAGATTTAAATAAAAGGTGCTTTAGTGACTGTCAGCCAGGCGGCGACGGGTCAGGCGCCAGTGTATCACGTGGTCAGGCTAGACAAGTGCTGTGCAACTGCAACAGAGTTTACTACTACCACTGGCTTGTTTTGCGTTTAACTCGTCGAGTACCGGTTTTGTAGACACAATTATAGAACAATAGGTTGCGGTCACCGGTGACCGCTTGGTGTTTGACAGTTTAAAGTAGTCTCTGATTTATTGGCCGGCTCCAATGAACCAACGAATCACAGCGCTGAACGTGGTCTCGTTTCGATACTAACGGCCCCCGGAACTTTCCTGTCAACGCGTATTTGAGGGGTCTCAACTTGTTAATTGACAATACCCATAAATTAACGGGCCTGGTAGGGTGCGGCGACTGATGTTAATAATAATGAAAATCGATGTCACCATTCCCCATGACGAGAACCTCGTGAAAGCTGAGAAAGATAAACAAATAAAATATCTAGACTTAGCTCACGAGGTTGTCGACATATGGAGTGTGGATTCGGCTATCATTGTGCCGATAGTCGTGTCGGCCAATGGGTTAATCCCTAAAAGCCTCGACATCCATCTTAGGGCCCTTTTCACCAAGCTCTGTAAAAACTCAGTTACACGTAACCTAAGTTTAAAGTAACCTAAGTTTAAAGACTCGTGTGGATCTGGGTAATCTGAGTTTACGTCAAACCGATTTCTCCGACACCATCCCACCAAAACTAGTTTACAACGAGAGAGTTACGAGAGCGTTTGGTTTCTACAACATGCATCAGGGAATTAAGCGACCTGCTGCGGTTTGCGTATATAAACAGTCATTTGCTGATGTAAAAAAAAAAAATAATGTATTAAAATATTATTTTAAATTAAGATTATATTATATCTTATTATTTTAAATTAATATTATTAAAATATATACATATATTTTTACTTGTAACAACGGGACGAATTTTGATACATTCACACTTCACAGTGTTACAAGCTCAGAATGAAATCGCATATGAAACGGGGAACATAATACAAACATGATTTGAAAAAAAAAACATTATCCAATATAAAGCAATTGTTATATAGTATACTACTTAATTCCTATAATAAGCACGTCTTATTTAAAAAAGCAATGAATAATGCATTTAAATAATGAAAAATTAATATTTTTGTTCTAACTTTTATTCATACAATGGCAACTTTGTTTTTATTCCCCGATGTAGAAAATTTCAAATCATTCGTAAACTTTGTGTTTGACGAGTGCCCATCTTTCTTTTTCTGTGTGATTTCTGTGACCCTGCTTTTCTTTTTCGGACTATTGTGTGATAACTTTTACGACGACCTTTGCCTACTATACTACGCCATGTCTAACAGAACCGAAAATTTGAAGCGGAAGAGAGATCCAACCTTTGTCGCAAGTGAAAAAATGGCGTTAGTGGATCTGGTGGAGAAACACTTTGCTATTGTAGAGTGTAAAAAAACCGATGCCACAACAATACGCAGCAAAAATCAGGAGTGGCAAAAAATTGCAGAAGAATTTAATTCTGTTTCGTCAGTCCATCCAAGAGAATGGATTGTTTTGAAAAACTGCTGGGAAAACTTAAAGAAGAGAGCCAAAAGTGAGCAGACAGCACGTAACCAACATTATTTGGGAACAGGTAAAAAAGTCATTGAATAATATTAATCTGAAAATGTTTGATGTAACCCAATAATAAAAACCGAAAATATTTGCTATAGTTTCAAGTTTGTTGTAAGTTGCTGTTACTTAACTTCACATTCTTTTTCATATTTAAGGAGGAGGTCCACCCAGGAAATTGACTGTAGATCCAGCAATCGATCGAGTTCTAGATCTTATCCAGACTAGAGTGTCTGGATTTGTTAATGTGTATGACTCCGATGGCACTCATATTTTAGGTAAGATTTTTCACAAGTCTCGAACGTTTTATTATCTTTATATTATTGTATATAGTTACTACTTGTTAGACCTTACACACTTTGAATTGGTTATACCAACTTTGATATCATCATCATGGACTCGTGCACATACACATCAACTTTGCTGATGATCATTGCGTTACATGATGCAATGCATAATTTCTGGTTCTTTAAAAGACACACAGACAAACCTTCATTATTATTTACATATACATAGAATATGTAGGTTTGTCACCGAACTCTGACAAAGTCTGCGGAGACTGCCAGTAAATATGTAAATTGTTATTAAACTCATAAATAAGTTTAGCCTAGTCTTTTTGCTGTATTCAATTTGCATCATAACAAAATATATAAACAAGACTTTATTTTTCAGCATCCGGTAACAATCCAAGCACATCAGTGGCCGACCAGGCACCTCAAAATGATATATTATTATATTCAAATGGTAAGTATTAATTTGTTATTTCTTACGTAATGCAGATTTTAAATCAATTATATACATTGATTTAATTTGGTACCATGCATGTATTATATTGAAATTTAGATAATAGTAGAGTAATTTAAACAAATATGTTTAACAATTGTCTATTACTCTAACTATAAGCTCTGCTTAGTTTGGGTATAGACAGCATTGTGTGAAAGTTAAGGAATATTATCATTATTATTTTCATGAGCAGTCCGCTGCTCATGAAAATTTATCAATACCTAACATACTAAAAAAACATCTTAAGTGGGGCTTTCATAAAATAAAGAATAGTATTGTACCTTGCATTAGACTCATTTGCACTTGAGCAGATGAGATTCTTTGTATCATTGTTTAGAGAGGAAAATAAAATATTCTAAAGTTCATAGTTTTTATGATAATGACACAAAAATTAATGAAAGATGTGTATGTACATACATAGAGGTACATAACATTACATGTGATAATCTAAAGTGATATTCACTATTTTTATTAAATAATTTGTTATAGATGCCAGTGCTACTCCTGTACTTGATGTACAGGACTCCACGGAGGCCGCTGTAGTTACTGAGACAGCTGCTGCTACATTTGAAGTTGTAAGTATTGTGAACTAAATTTGAAAACAATCCACTATACCGGTATTTACTCTTACGTATAAGGTCTGCACCTTACCATGGTGGACAGATCATATTAATACCATCATCATGGTATTTAAGTCCCCTCTTTGAAGACTGGCAAAACGTAACATATGTTCCTTACCTGCATGACGCAGGTCCTCTCTGAACATAGTCGTTTCAGGATTTTCTTACCTCTGAATCAAGCAGAAGTAACTGAAGAGCTTAGGCAGTTAAAAGGACCTTATAAAAAAAGGTGGTTAATGGACATCACAATTTTATTTTTTAAGACTCTTCCACTATTCTATGCTTACAACAGATGATGTCCAAAATTAAAAACTTACCTATTATATGTTTTTTTATAAAATTGTATTTTATGCAGGACTGGTCTCAGTACACTCCAGCAATGTTGAGAGCACCAGTTACCACAGCACTTGTTGCCTCAAGGAGTCCATCACCTGAGGCAACTGGCAGTAGAGTGGAACCTCCACCACACAAAAGAACAACTATCACTCCACCTAGGTTAGTAATATTATAAACTGTTCATTATCTCTTTGCATAAAAAATATTATAATTAAAATTCAAGTAAGGAAGTAAACTGTTTCAATAGAAATCACTACAATATTAAACTATTAGCTGTTGTTATAAGTATTTTTTTTTTATATTTATTTAATAAAATTATTGTTTAATTGTTGCAGAGTTATATCCACTGAACGTCCTATAGCGACGGCAAGTCGCAGAAGGCCAATTTTAAGGCGTGAAAGCCTTAACGCGCAACGCATCAACACATTACTAAATTGTAATAAAAATGCTGATGAAGAACATGCCGCAAATATGGCAATTTTGCGGCTTCAAGAGCAGAGGGAGGAAGAAATGCTGGTTCAAGAAAAATTAAAAACGGAACAAGAAAAAATAAAACTAGAAATTTTGAAAATACAATTAAAAAAATTACAAGATTATTTATAAGTAGTTTTTATTTCCTTTCAAACAAAATTCACAAATTCATTACAGAATACCTTTTTTCTTATTATTCCAGAGCAATTTAATTTAATTCAAAGCAACTTTAAAATTAACAACACCTAATTTATTGTTACAGATGACTATCTTTTTCAAGTTTCAAAATCAAATCATTTATCTATTTCAATAGTCCATAAACAAGCACTTTTGCAATGTCTAAATTGAAATTGAGCATCAGTGAAGCTAGGTGCTCTTTTCAAAATGTAAATTTATGAAAATAGTGCACTGGATGTTTATGTAAAAACATATGGTTGATTTTAACATAATATTACTTGCATTGTATTATGCAGACTGACAATCTGAAATAAGATTTCAATTAATTTATTCTTGGAATTTGAACAGCTACTGACTGAGTAATGTCCAATGGTGCTGGGCCAAATATTTATCTTGTTAGTCTGAAAAGATAAACATATAATTATTTATTTATCCATAAAAGGTAGGTACAATATAAAAAAAAAATGTTAGTTTCAGTAAAATAAATAGTGAGTAAGTATAAACAAAAAGTAGTTAGAAAGTAAAATTAAAATCCTGTTTGCATGTTTGTTTTAATTTGGGCTGGCAGGCAAAGTATAACTGGGTTTATTAAAAATTCTCAGTAGTAGCACGGAGTTTGGAATTGTGCCCAGTATATGGCAATAGGCTCACCCCATTATATGGGAGTGCTAACATAAATAGTGAAAAGACCTACTTTTCACTATTTATGTTTCATTGTACAGTGGCATTAAGTGCCGTGATGTGCACCTCTGCCTACCGCTTCAGGGATAAAAAGCGTAATGATATAGTAATGATTACATACAACTGTCAACTCACCGTCCAAAGTAGTTTGTGATAAGTTCATTACGTCTTCTATAATTTGGATTTGTCCTGTATGATTGTCCTATATTAATATTTTCACTGCTAATATCACCCTGAGTTATTAATGCATCCCAAGAATCTGGATTTATAATTTGGTTGTCATTAGGAGGTATGACTTCACCACTTCTTCTTGCAATATTGTGTAGTACAGCAGTAGCAATGATGATTGGGAAGCTATTCTGCACAGAAACTCCCAACCCCATAGCCATGGCTGGGAAACGTCTTTTCCATAATCCAAATACTCTTTCTATACAATTCCTCGTTCTAATATGAGACTCATTATATAAGTCTTCTGGACCATTACTGCATTGTTCTAATGGAGTCATCATGTAACTGTTACACGCATAACCTGCGTCTCCTACAAGAACAGCATTTCCATAGTGTCCCTGATCAAACAATGCCCGTCTATAGCAGTTGTTGAAGATATATGAGTCATGTGTGCTTCCTGGCCAACGAGAGACCACATCTGTAAATTCCAATTTTGCATTGCAGATGGCTTGAACGTTTAAAGAAAAGTAGTTTTTCCGGTTACGGAATATCTCTGGATTTTCGCCACCTAAAAATATATTTATTATGCATACATTGCAAGTATAAATTACATAAATATGTGTTAGTTTAATATACATTTATAACATCTTACCTGGTGACTTGATAAACTTTACATGTGTGCAATCTATAGCACCAATAACATATGGGAATTTAGCTCTTTTGGAAAATTCAATTTGTGTTTTGCGTATTTCATCTGGTAATTCAGGAAAGTAAATATGGCGCGGTCGGAGTGAGGCAATAGCAGCACTGACTCTGTGTACAATTCTATGGGCAGTAGATGTACTAAATCCACATAAATCAGCAGCTGTCATTTGATAGCATCCAGTCGCATAGAAACGCAGAGCGCATAGTAACTGATTGATGGGAGACACACTACTATTTCTGAAACAAGTAAATTAGCCATATAAGAACTTATTGCTTGTAAAATATGTAAATAGTAGGTAGGGAACTAGATTCGTTAAACTATGTAGGTTTCTAATATTGAAATGAAAAATCATACTTACATATTTGTAGGAAATTCTAATTTATCTTCAATAGACTCCAATACACATAGAACTGTTGGTTTTGTGAGACGAAATCTTGTTGTAAAATCTTTATCATCAAGAGTGTCGAAATGTTCTTCTCTCACTCGAATCCACCTCGGACGACGAACTAGCGTAAATTTCTAGTCATATCTTTCGTCAAAAGCAAGCACTAAAGCCCTTTTCATCTTATTTTTAACGTAATACCAAGTAATTGAAATAATAATGTTTGTAATTTTATTATGACACAACAACAAGTGACACTAGTGACAGTGGCTAAACTGGCTTAGCGAGGCTAAACGCCGAGAGCACTGTCAAAAACTGAGTTCCGTGTAAACTAGTTTCTGTTTGTAGCGGTGAAATGTAAAATGAAGCTGTAACTTCGTTTAAACGCTTTAAATTCGATTAGACGCTTTAAATCAGTTTTGTTAGGTGTAATCGTGATCAGTTTCGTTGGTGAAAAGGGGCCTTAGGAGGCTGGCGTTAGGTGAATGGATCAAGGGCCTGATACAGAAGGCAGTTCTCCTAGAAACGGCACGTATCGTGAGGAGGTTTCTGTCTCTGGAGCCCTAACCACCGGTAGCTTGGACCATGCTCCCGCTACTGGTCGGCTCCTATTTTTTATATTTTTAAATATTATTTTTATTTTATAAGTAGTGTTTAAAAATGTAACTTATAGAGAATTTTAAATAAATATATGTATGAAAATCATAATGATATACAAAGTAATTTTTTTATGGTATAAACCGGTAAACGATCACCTGATGGTAAGCAATCGGCATCACCAGCGTTCCAAGTGCTTTACTGGCCTTTTTTGATTAGGAATTTGAGGATTGTTGGGGATTCAAGGATTGGGGAAGGGTAAAGGGGGGTAATCGGTCCTCTGGTCACCTCTCTCATACGATGAAACACGACGCAAGCGTTGTCTCACGTCGGTTTCTTGCTCGGCCTTGGTATCACTCCGTTCGAGCCGGCCTATTCGTGCCGAGGGATGGCTCTCCTACACTTAATCTTATTTAAAGTTATTTATCTTAAACTGTCAAACACCAAGCGGTCACCGGTGACCGCAACCTATTGTTCTATAATTGTGTTTATAATGACGGTACTCGACGAGTTAATATTATAAATATGAAAGTTCGTTCGTTCATTTATTACTCAATCACGTCACGACGGCTGAAAGGATCGGCATGCAATTTGGAACAGGTCTGCAATAACGCATGGGCTCCTTTTTATCTCACGTCATCGCGGGCGAAGCTGGTGACAGAACCTAGTGATATTTATATTTTGTTTCATATATTAATAAGAATGGTTAATTTACATTTAATGGGTGATAAATGTGATAATTACAGTGACAACTTTCTCAACCATTAAACTAAGATGGCGCCGCGCCGCCGCGAACTATTAAAACGTTCATTAATTGCACACGTGAGCAAATAAACCAATAAACAGACAGACAAACCTGTCATTACTTATATATATATAATGGCTTTCCCTCTGCAACTTCGGTCGCGTCGAATATAAAGTTTAATTTTATAGCCTGTAGGTATAAAATTTTCCCGTTTTTCGCCATTTTTCCAATGAAAAGTTGAAGTTTACGATTTACCTGTTTACTCAATTTGACTGATCAGTATAATTCAAAGTTACATTATTTCAATAATGTTGTTTTGTCAGTGAACCCCTATTTCAACTCTTTAGAGAGTTGTCATAAATTTAAAAATATAACATGTTTTATTT